GCACAGTGCTCTGCCTGGGGGAACAGGGCAGCCTGGCAAAGTGCCGCTGCAGAGCCTTGGCCTTGAGCTGAGCAGATTTCTCTATGCGCATGTCCGTGTTTAATAAGAGTTATAAAACAGCAATGAAAAATTGAAAATGTCACTGCAATGTTGTGTGGGGCTAGGACGTGCAATTCAACTGTGAGTCTCCTGTTGGCAAAGCTGCTGTAAGGTTTATCTGAGCCTGCTGTGTGATGCTTGTTCTCTTCCCTGAGTGGACTGACTTCGCTCCCAACATTCGGCTCTGGCTTTTCCACTTGTGACCTGAGTGTGTGGTGGTGGTGGAAACCTAGCCTGGTTTAAACTCTCAGCAGCTGGATCAGCATTTAGCAGCATTGCTGCCTGCTTCAGGAACTCAGCTCCAGAGGACAGTTCTTTTATTTATTGTGAGCTTCTAGAATGAATTGACCAGTGCCTAGCATCCAGATTAGCAGGACATTGAAATAGACATGGTAAACACTCAACCCTAAGAACATGTGATATTAACCCACTCTCGAGTGAAAGCATTGGTGGTAAAAGCAGAGGGATGGGATGGGCCCTGATAGTATCAGCTGTGCAAAGAGGAGGCTTCAGATAATGCGAGGTATCTGCGTGTTTCCTGTTGAAACCTTGACATTTGAAATGCATGCTCTTCGTGTCACCCTCAGTAGCCTTGTTGCCCATTTGTTGAATTTGAGAACTGTAAATGTTTGTGCGTGTTGATTGCTGCAAGGAGGTGGGGGGTGAAGAAAAATCCTTGAGAAGTTTTGGGAACAGGCAGTGTCATGTGTCAACAGACAGTGAAACAGTGTCATGTAAGGGAGAGGGTGGTTTGGAGAATAGATCTGGAGAAAGCAAGTGTCTTGCTGGGAGCTGAGGAGCCCCAGGGCCCAAGCAGAGAAGCAGAAGCCAGACCAGGACTATGGGAGCATCCCTGTAAAGAACTGATTGTGCTCTGCCACTGGGGGGTCCCACACATGTGAAAGGTCCCCAGGGACTGGAGGGGGAACCTCCCCCACCCTTGGACCTCCCTTGTCACATCACCCCGTGGTGGCTGCTGAAGCCATCATCACCCATTATCAGCTTCACTGTTACGAAGCTGCTTGAGGCCTCTCCCCGTGCCTACAAATTTTTCGAAGTATTAAAACAAGCTGAAAACCTGCTGCCTATTTGCTGTAGCTTGGAGATGGTTTAGAGCTGGGTTTGACTGATAGCTTATCCGTATCTTGTAATTCAAGTTCTTTGGAATGGGATTATGAACATTTGTTCACCCTATGCTTCCTCTGGGGCAGGCTGAGCCCCAGAGTTGCTCTGGGCTGCTTCCAGAGGAGCTCTCAGCAGGCAAATGTCTGCAGTGGGGTTAGGGCCAGGGAGTGCTCCAGCTTCAGCAAATCAGGAATTCCCTTTGGGAGGCAAATGGGAGAATAGGGCAGGAATTTCCAACATGCAAATAAAAGACCATATTAATAAAATGTAAATAATCGAGTGTTCGTTCGTTTCAGCTTAGCTCTTGGAAGATTTCCCAGGATGTCTTTAAAGAGCTCCTTGTTAAATAGTGGGATGTTTTTTCTCCACAGGTAGGTGTTAACATAAAAACATCTCATTTCCTTCACTTGAAGAATACTACAGAATTGCTGGGTCTGGAGATTACTGTGGAGGCTTTTGGGAAATTGCAGAATCATAGAATCATCAAGGTTGGAAAAGACCTCCAAGACCATCCAGTCCAACCGTCCACCCACCATCACCATTTCCCACTAAACCATGTCCCTCAGTGCAGCATCTACACATTTCTTGAACACCTCCAGAGATGGTGACTCCACCACTCCCTGGGCAGCCCATTCCAGCACCTGAGCACTTTCTGGGAGAAAAAATTTTTCCTACCATCCAACCTGAATCTCCCCTAGTGCAAGTTGAGGCTATTCCTTCTAATCCTACTGCTAGTTATGCAGGAGAAGAGGCCAGCCCCCACCTTGTCCCACCCCTGGTCCTCCCACGCTGCCTGACATCTCAACTATATTCACATAGGTCTATGGCTGCAGTTGTCCTGCAGCAAGTAGCTCAGCACACAGGTTTGCCTGTGGGCCCACACCAGGGAAATGACAAATGTGGCTGCAGTTCTCTTGAAGCCTTTATGTCATCAGTAGTGAAGCTGGAGCTTTCTGTTCTTCAAATCATACTTCTTAAAATACAGTCTTGAATAAGGATAATGTTGTTTACCTCGATCTGAGGGACTCCACCATTATTTTCTAGTTAAAGTGTTCTGTTGCAGAAATTAACATATATCTATTTATTACAGTTTTTATTTAATTCAGTGTCTTTTGATTAGTTTGACGTTTTCTCTGTAGACTCTAGAACTGGAGTAACAAATGTAATGAAGTCTAAGAAACAAATCATAGAATGGCTTAGGTTGGAGGGAACCTCCAAGATCCTTTAGTTCCAACCACCTGCCATGGGCTGGTTTGGCAACCAGCTCAGGCTGTGCAGGATCTCATCCAGCCTGGCCTTGAATGCCTCAAGATGGGGCATCCACAGCTTCTGCTGATGCAGCCCAGGATACCACTGGCCTCCCGGGCTGCAAGTGCACAGAGTTAGCTCACATCCAGCACTTTTGTCCACCAGCACACCTCAGTCCTTCTACACACATCTGGGATTGCACCACCCAAGTGCGACATCTTGCAGTTGGCCTTGTTGAGCCTCGTTAGTCTAGTGTTAAATGGGAGGTTGGCGGCCCTGCACGTGGCAGGGGGGTTGGAGATTCATGATCCTTGAGGTCCATTCCAACCCTGGCCATTCTGTGATTAGGTTCTTCAACACTTTTCAAGCCTGTCCATGTCCCTGTGGATGCCATCTCTTCCTTTCATTGTTTCAACTGCATCGCTCAGCTTGGTGCATCAGCAAACTTGCTGAGGGTATGCTTGATTGCTTCTGTGCTTAGCCATCCTCTGATATGCCAGTCCATTGAACCTATTTGGTGTTTTGACCTTACCTTAGCTAGAATTTGAGTTTTCGTGGTGGATGAATAGGACAGACCCTGCCCAAAGCACTGCTTTAACTATGTGGAAGATATTTTGCCAGGCTGTGTGTTTATTAATAAGCTGATTTTTGTAAGGAGATGGAGCACCATGTCTGAGCTCTTGTGGCAGGGCTAGCTAATGATATTGGACAGCAAGCAACTGTCACTTTTGCTAAACCTGTCATATTGCAGATAAGCTGATTACAGCATACAATTGGGGTGGGCAGAATGACAGTCTAATCCATCTTAGGGCTCTACCCAAAGTCAAATCTTGAGTCTGCTGTCCTAAAGTATATGGTTGACCCCTGAAAACCGTTGTTTTTCAGAGGCACAACGAGAGCTAAGGAGCAGAACAGTCATCAGCTTTGCTGAATAAACTCTTACCAGTGTGTCTGCTTGAGGGCTTGTAGACTCTCACCCCCGAGCAACGATAAAATAGGATTTGTGAGGAACAGAAGTAACACAGAATGTATCTGAAAGCATGTCTTTGTACATTGCTTGGAAATGCAGCACAGTATATGAGCAAGCCACCTAAGGGGCTGAAACAGTCCTGTATGGGAATCACAAATGCTTTTAGGTTCAGCTGGTATTGTGTCATTTGGCCAAGGCATGTAGCAGATCCTTGAATCTGGGTAGATTAATAATTCCACATGTGGAGGTGTACTTAACGTTACACTGTTCAGGTCAGTTGCTGAATTTCAGCTCCCTGATATTTGGCAACCTTTGCTCTACAGCAGTGTTTTTGTAGATGTATACATTAGATACTAGATATGATTTCCTCAGCTGATGCTGTGATATATGGGGCACAGTGGCTCAGCTGTATGGAACAATAACACAGATTCTGTGAATGGTTTCCTCTTCAAATCTTTATATCCATTCCTAACAAATTTTTCTCAGTGGCATTTAGTAGAGTTGAAGAATATTTTCATTCTCTTCCTCTTGAACTGTCCTTTTGTCTGTGCATTGCACAACATGCACGCGGTGTTTGCATATACTACAATCTTTACTGCAGATATCCAAGATCCACGTGAGGTGAGAATGCTGTGTGAGGCTGAGACAGTAGATGGCATGTAGAGTTTGAGGGCTGTTGATCACAGAGTACTGTCTCACAGTGCTTCACCCTCTGCAGGTTTGCACATGACACCGAAGTGAGTGGTACAGCTGATCTAGCAGAAGGAAGGGATGACATCCAGAGAGACCTTGATAAACTCAAAAGGTGGGCTCATGAGAACCTAATGAGGTTCAACAAGGCCAAATGCAAGGTGTCGCACTTGGCTTGGTGCAATCCCAGATATGAGTACAGATTGAGAGAGGAAATCCTTGTTAGCAGCCCTGCGGAGAAGGACTTGGGGATCCTGGTGGGTGAAAATTTACCATGAGCCGGAAGTGTGCACTCACAGCCCAGGAGGCCAGTAGTAGCCTGGGCTGCATCAACAGAGGGCTGGCAGCGGGCAGGGAGGGGATTGTCCTCCTCTGCTCTGCCCTCATGAAGCCCCATCTGGAGTACTGTGTCCATGTCTGGGGTCCCCAGCACAAGATGGACATGGGGCTGTTGGAGAGGGTCCAGAGGAGGGTCAAAAAGAAAGATCACCTCTCTTAGGAAGACAGAATCATAGAATGGCCTGGGTTGGAAAGGTCCACAGTGATCATCTGCTTTCAACCCCCTGCTGTGTGCAGGGTCGCCAACCAGCAGACCAGGCTGCCCAGAGCCACGTCCAGCCTGGCCTTGAATGCCTCCAGGGATGGGGCGTCCACAGCCTGCTTGGGCAACCTGTTCCAGTGCCTCACCTCCCTCTGTGTGACAAACTTCCTCCTCAGATCCAACCTAAACCTCCCCTGTGTCAGTTGAAAACCACTCCTTGTCCTGTCACTATCCACCCCATAAACAGCCATTCTCCCTCCTGTTTGTATGCTCCCTTCGAGTACTGGAAAGCCACAATAAAGTCTCCCTGGATCCTTCTCCAAGCTAAACAAGCTCTGTTCCTTCAGCCTTTCTTCATGGGAGAGCTGCTTCAGCCCTCTGCTCATCACAGTGCCCGCCCTCCCTTTCTGTGTCCACCCTGGAAGGTGGTACCTACAGCCTGTCTCTGGTTCTCAGTGCCCAGTCGACAGAAATGCAATACCTGTGAGCAGAGCGCATGGAGCTGCAGTCAGGTGTTCTGCTCAAAAACTTGATCAGGTCTCTTGTACCGGAGAAAAACATCCCCCGCTCCACAGTCACGCCTCACTCACGCCATGGCTGCTTGGCAGGACGTGCCTGCGTGAGCAGCTGCTCTCAAGGGTGAAGCACAGCAGGAGTAAAACTTGATCTAAACTCTGAGCAGCACCTCGAGAGCTCCCTGAGAACTGCTGAGATGGCCATCAAGCCCGAGTGACGCCTTGGTTTGTGGGAAACCGAGGCAGCCCCTCTTCTCTGGGAGCAGCCCGGGCAAGCCAAAAGGCTGGGCACCCACAGATTAGCTGCTGTCTTCCCACGGAGGAAATACACACCCATAAATAGTGGAGTTCCTGGCAACCATCGGCGTGTAGTTTAGCTCCCATGCAGACCTGGAAATTGCCTCTGCCATTAGCAGCAGAGCATTTGTGCCAAAAGTAGGCAGAGGACATCTGCTTAAGCGGCTGGGTAGAAGCACAGGAAAGTCCTAGCAAACGCAGCCTCATCAAGGTTCTGGTGTGTTTTGTGAGCAGAAGCGGAGCAGAGGGGCCACTCTCAAGCAAGTCACTGCTGTTGCCCGACTGCACAGCCCTCAGGCACTGCCCGCGTCTCCTCTCCCCTCCTGCTCTCTGCCTCCTGCTCCTTCCTTCTGAATCCACTCCTGCTGACCCCCAGCTTACAACAAGGGAATGCCTCGCTGTTTGCATTGCTACCATTTTTGGTTAAAATCACGGGAGCACAACTCAAAGAAGTTCACAAAGCTGTTTCTGCTGAAAGAGCAGGCTCCCCATCCGCACCGCCCCAAGCTGGAAAGCCCACCTTGAGAAACCATTTCCTGCACTGTCATAATCAAAAACTAAATCTGGACACCCAGCCGAGGTGTCCTGTAATTAGAGGTGGTACAAATCACTCTCTGGTGCCATTTTGCGTAGTTCTGATTTTAATACAATCAATATCCTGCAGAAAATAGCTGTGGGTCTCCAAAGTGATTATTTGCTCCAGAACAGTCACATTTAAACTCTTATCATCAGACAGTCTCTGTTCTGACAACTCAAGAGCAGAAACAGATAAATATATATATATATATATTCAGTGCTGGAAGTTCTCCCAGTGCGTGTGCATGACAAGCTGGGACACCCAGGAGCAGCGCAGACCCGTCGGACCATGTTGACATCACAGTCATAGTGAGGCACTGTCACACTTTGTCACAGTGCCTGGGTGGACCCTCAGCTCCACAGGGCACCTGTGGAACCACTGCAGGTTTGTGAAGGTCGACTGCAGGCATGCTTTCGTCCTATCCGGACCAGCTAAGATGCCAAACACTGACAAAGACAAGAAGCTACTCCACAAGCTGGGCTTCACGCTGGGGGAGACCTTAGGAGAGGGTGCGTTCTCCACGGTGAGGGCGGCCACCTCCCCCAAGTACACGGTCCCCCTAGCTATCAAGATGGTGGACAAGCGAAGGGCCTCTCCAGAATTTGTGGAGAAGTTTCTGCCCCGGGAGCTCTCCATCCTGCGTGAGCTGGATCATCCCAACATCGTGCTCATCTTTGAGATCTTTGAGCTGACCGACGGTATGGTCTACATCGTGATGGAGTCGGCAGCCTTCGACCTGCAGCAGCGGCTGCAGCAGCTGGGCAAGCTGCCCTGCGTCCCTGACGCCCGGGACATCTTTGTGCAGGTGGTGGGGGCCGTGCACTGCCTCCACGACCGCAACATCGTGCATCGTGACCTCAAGTGTGAGAACATACTGCTCAGTGCTGATGGCCGCCAGGCCAAGATTGCTGACTTTAGCCTCAGCAAGGAAATGAGCAGCTACCCAGAAGTGAGCAGCACCTTCTGCGGAACAGAAGCCTACATGGCCCCGGAGATGTGGCTGCATTACCCCCACGATGCCAAGAAGTTGGACATCTGGAGCCTGGGGGTGGTCCTTCTTGCCATGGTGACTGGCAGCTTGCCCTTCCACGGCTGCCTCTGCAACACGATCCAGCATCAGAAGGATGGGGTCCAGCACCTGAGGGGGGTGTCCGCGCTGCCGGAGCCCTGCCAGGCCCTCCTTGTCCAGCTGCTGCAGTTCTTACCATCCTCCCGGCCCAGCGTGGAGCAGGTGGCCAGCAACAGCTGGCTGAAGGGGGATATCTAAGGGGAATCCTCCCCAGAGAATGTGTCAGGACAGCCAGCTTTTGGTGCAATAAATGCTGTTGAAGAAAAGCTCTTGAGCAGTTTGACTAGCAGGGTGTGGGTGGGATTAAACTTCAAGAGCTGGCAAGACTTGGTCAAGAACTTGGTCAAGAACTTGGTCAAACCCCTTCACAAAGCAGATGAATAAACCTGCCATCGGTTAGGCTTCAGGCTCTGGTCGCTGTATTGAGTGAGGGGTTAGAGCACACCACGGAGCTGCTCGCATAGCAGTGGCTGCCTGAGCAAATAGGGGGGCCAGGCCCAAGCTCTCCCACTGATCCAGCTTTGGTAGCCACCGGCCTGTATTGAGCTTTAGATCACACCGGAATACTCAAAAACAAACAAACAAACAAAAACCCTCACAGCAGAATGTTTACAAGCAATCCAACAGCATTACCGACCCAGAAGTTCTGGGGTGGCTTTCAGATCCATGCCTTAACTTCAACCACGTCTTGCAGGCATGGAAAAATGACAGCATTCAAAGTCTCTGCCCAGAGGTACCGGATGAGAAAGAAACATCCTGGCCACAGAGGCAATCAGCCTAGCAATCACGGTCACCCCCATGGCTCTGTCTTTTCAGGTGCTTCTGTTGTGAAGAACAGAAGTCAGCAGTAGCCAAAATGTAATTGCCAGATGTATGCATTGCTTGCTGTCCCATGTTTTCATGGGTCTATGCTTACCCTTGCAAATGCTAACTCACTGCAAAGTCTGTGTGTCTGCAAGAGTAAAAACAGCTGTCGTCTTGGGAGCCCAAGGTTCCTTGTCCAGGCAGAGCCAGCTGTGGGAGCAAGCGTGGCACTTGGGGCTTGCTTGGGATTTTGCCTGGAGGAAAGCTGGAAATCTCCAGGAGTGGAGCTAGCACAGCTGATGGGGGCAACCACGACATGGGGTGTGAGTGCCCTCTGGTCTGTGTTGAATGTAGTTAGGCAATTTGGATCCCTTATTCACCTCCCTCTGTGTGACAAACTTCCTCCTCAGATCCAACCTAAACCTCCCCTGTCTCAGTTTAAAACCATTCCCCCTTGTTCCATCACTATCCACCCTCACAAACAGCCATTCCCTTTCCTGTTTATACGCTCCTTTCAAGTGCTGGAAGATTACAATGAGGTCTCCCCGCAGCCTTCTCTTCTCCAAGCCAAACAAGCCCAGTTCCCTCAACCTTTCCTCACAGGAGAGCTGCTCCAGCCCTCTGATCATCTCAGTGCCCTAAAACAGAGGAGATTTAGATTAGATGTCAGGTAAAGTTTTCACAGAGAGGATAGTGAGGCTCTGGCACTGCTGCCCAGAGCTGTGGGTGCCCACCCCTGAGGTGGCCCAGGCTGGGTTGGGTGGGCCCTGGGCAGCCCGAGCTGGGGCCTCAATCAGTGGCTGGCAGCCCTGCCATGGCAGGGGGTTGGAACTGGGTGATCTTTGAGGTCCCTTCCATCCCAAGCTGTGCTCTGATTCTATTTAAGAGCAAAGAAGGCAGTTGTTTTCTCTTTCTGCAATCTCCACTACTTCAGAGCAAGGATTTTTGTGGCAAAGTAGTTGAAAGCAGATGCTTTTCATAACTTTCCTCTACGTTAGCTTTCAACCATGTAAGCATGGTTTTCCATGCAAGGGAGCCTGGGACTGGAAGAAATGCCTTTTTCAAGGGCAAGATGTGCTTGAGCCGGTCATGAAAGTGCACTCTGAGGGCTTCTGAATCAGACTGTTCATAAAAGTCAAGAGCATTTTATTCTATGAGATGTTTATGTCCTTTCTTGAAGTGTTATGACGAGGATGAAGTGATAGCATCAGGGAACCGAGGTCATGGACCTGAGTGCTGGAGATGCACATGCCCAAATCCGCCAGTGTTTACTTTGGGATATGTTTTGGCTACTGAATGCTAAACAAAGCAGAGCTGAAGGTGCTTTATTCCTGTTCTGAACTGCAAATAGTTTGCTGCATCTGACCGGATAGCACAGCACTAGTGCGTTTAACCAGCTCTACTATAGAGGCTGCTGAGAGGCACAGCTCTGTTACCATAACAGTACCCTTATTTTTATCTTCAGGAGAAAATATTTATTGAAATTACGTTTTTACTCTTAAAAGGTAAAGCTATTTCTAATTGCAGTGATATCCATGAGTACAAGTAACTTTTTTTTAAGGTAAGAAAATGTTTACTGGTAGAATTCTACATTTGGGTTGTGTATTCCCTGCAGTCATCAGCTGTTCAGATTTTATTCTGGGTGGCTTTTGTGATGATTAGGAAGTGATGGACAGTCTGGGACTTCTCTTTAGATGGCTCTTTAGCGTGAGGCCTCCAGGGACCTCCACTGGATAGACCCAATGAGGGGGTTATGCCCCAAAAATGCTCCCAAAAGTAGCCCACCTCCCAGACCACATCCAGAGGGCTAGAAGACTTTGTTGAGGAACCCACTCACACCCCAAAATGTGCTTCCTCAAAGGGGTTCAGGCCATGTGCACTGAGGTTGGGACTTGCTTACTATGGTCCTTCAGCCTTCACTGCCCAGCTGATGTAGAGTTTCCAGCTCCAGTTCAAAGCTAAATGTTGGAGGTGTCTCTCAAGACTCATTCCGTGGTCTGCTCTCAGGGAAGACTGGTAGCTCTTTGCTTCCCTGATACCCTGTGTCCCAGGAGGTCAGTGGCCAGAAATGCTGTGAGTTAGAAATACTTGGTGTGAAAGATGTGAGAACAAATGCCCCAAAGCAATATCATAAAGAGCTATTTGGGGCAGAAGGGTTTTCTCCCCCTTAATTCTGTGGGGTTTTTAATGTAAGCATTGTGAGCAAATTGTGACTAGCTCTAAAGTGTTATTTAAAAATCTGTCTTTAGACAGACTGAATTATTTTCCAATATTTCCTTTCTAAAGTGCATACAGTAGAATTCATCAAGACGTGTTGTTCTACTCATGTCTGTGTCAATGGTCCAATAATCAGTGCAGGAATCATCTTTTTCTCCAATAAAATGAAATAAAAAAATAGAAGTTTGACTTGTCTTCTCCCCAGCACTTTGCTGTGTAGGTATTAGAAAGTTAAATGCTCCTGTTCTACTGAAATCTTTAATGGAAGTTTGCCAGTAATATTCAGTTTCCCAGCAGTTAAGGGATCTGCAATCCAGAATTAAAACAAAAGCAAACAAACACAACAAAGCAGACATCTAATAACATCGGAGTGTCAATTACTGGGGCTGGAAATGTTAGACACAAAAGTTAGATTTTAATGCTATACTGAATTCTCCAGTTATGCAGCAGCACTTTGTTGAGTAGGGCACAAGCTCAGGTTTCACCTATGTTTTTGCTTCATCGCACCAATAGTTGGTGCAGGAACTGGCTTCAGCTTTGAAGCAAATTCAGGACAGTATTTTTTAAACACAAAAGTCACTGCACTGCAACGCAAAAGTGAAATATTCACTTTGCATTTGCTAACACTGGAATTTGGTGTGTTGCAGTGCATTTGCATCACAAATTGCTCAGTAGCAATATGTCGGGTGATGGTGTTGTTAAAATAGAAACTACCATTGGTGTTTGGAAACAGTTCTATAGGAGAAAAAAGCCCTTCAACATTCTTTTGTGAAGTAACTGCAGACGGAGCCCTGAGCACATGGTGGTGTGTAGGAGAAGAAAGAAGCACATTAAGGCATCTCTGTATCTGTTGCATGAGTCATCCAAAACTGATGTAAAGATGCTTTCTTTTAAGCTGTATTTATCTGATGTGGGAATCAACAGTGATGGTTCTGTCCTTCCTGGGCAGCAGTGACGCAGTGACACGTATGCTTTTTCAATAAGCAGTCATGTTATGTGCCTCTGTAGCCCCTGTGGAGCTCAGAAGACAAGAGAGCAACTGAAACCACCTCCCCAAGGCTTGGGAACCTGAACCACAACCCTGACACCAGAATCCAGGATGTTGATGCTGTGTCATTTCTTTGTACAGAGATGGGCACGGGAGTCTGAGTAACACGGCAGTTTGAAATAACCTTCTATTTCTTTTGCTGCTTTTTATTTCTCTATGTGCTTGACTGGGCAGTCCATGTGACAAGTTTCGTTAGGCTCCGTGGGCACAGCTACAGTTCTCCTGAAGCTGGTGGGAACCAGGCTGTAGCTGGCCAGAATGAGCTGGCAAATGTCTGCAGTTAGTGTAACAGCAAGAAAAAGACATTGAGAATTACAGTAATCTGTAATGGGGCTGGTTTTTCTGAAGGAAAGGAGACTGCAGCACAATATCTGTTGAGCTTTGGGGATGGTCCAGGGTTTGGGCTGTCCCTCTGCTATGAACAAGAAGCCACTCAGGGAAGAAACTCACGTGTCTGATGTCGTACCAGGGCTAATTGGGGCCACAAAGCTGTGATGGCGAGCGCAGCCTCAAGCCTCTGAGTTCTCTCCTGGCCTTCTCCTTTTTGATGATTTTGCCCAATACTTGTGCATCTCAGATCTTCAGCTCTGGAGCCTATGATGGAGAACAGAGACTCTTAGCTTCAGGGTCCTGACCCACTGGTGCTTTGTCCTGGATGGAGTAAATGGTTTTCTGCTGTTCCGAGCATGGGGGAAGAGTTCATATGCAATTTCTTGGCATGACACCAACACAGATTTATTCTGTTGTGTGCTTTAGAAGTTTAATTAACACGAGCTTTGCAGTATGTGCTGGAAAGTAAACAACAGGCACATCTTTATTTACTTAACAGAAGAGTAACACTTCTTTAGAAAATGGGAAAGCTTTCCCTAATGTGTGCGACTGCATTCACCAGTGCTCTGCAGGCCAGCCTGCAGCACACACAGCACTTAAAGCCCCCATCAGCACAAATGCCAGGCTTAGGGGAGCCTCAGTGCCATGCAGATATTGCAGTGCGCCTTCGTGAGGGCAGAGCTTCGTCCCAGCAGCCGCACACAGCGCAAACAGGCAGGCAGCCACAGAGTCTGCATCGGTCTGACTGCTGTGCAGAGCCATTTATGGAAAACACTTCAGTGCATGGGCTGATGCTGCTTTGCAGATTGTATCGTGCTCATAATCAAAATATCCAACATGAGCAGAA